GTCCCATATCGATTGAAGAGAAGAACAAAGCATACCTTTATTAAGGTGCGGATACCTTTCTCTCGTAGACTCATTTTCTGGGTGGCTACAGTTGCACCCATGGAAACCAAATGGTGAGATGACTACGGTTGTACCAAAGTGGACAATATCTATGAGTGACACCTGGGGATGTTAGCCGATGTGGTACTTCACAATTCACCCCCTTAGGACCTAGCATCCTCATTGATACACCAACTCAACCTTGGCTCTGATACCAAATGAAACTTCCCTAAGTCTTAGAGTGCAGCCGTAGCCACTAGAGAGTGTCGCTCATAGATATTGTTTGCTTTGGTACAACCATAGCCACCTCACTATTTTGTTTCTCTGGGTGTAGCTATAGCCACCCAGAAAACACATTTACAAGGAAAAGGTATCCACACCCTTTACAAGGCCATTAAGTGTTGGTAATATAATGACGGAGATGAATTGGTCCGTGATAAATCCATCTATAAAATGCGCAATACTCACCAAGTTTCTGGATAAGTTCAATTACACAATGTACTATCTTAATTACAACCAACATAGCCAAAAAGTTACTCTACACATTTTTTATTATTGATTTATTGAAAGCATGGTGGCTGGTTTATGTATTATGATATAAGTTAAGTTAAAGTTCTCACGTTACATATAATCATGTATTTTGTTTTTAAAATATTAGTATTCAATGTCATTTAATTATAAATCCCTATGAAAAAATATAAAAGAGATGGTCATATGTGATTGAAAAACTTAATGTGATATATAAGTATTCAATCTTATCCGGAGAGTATGCACTTAGCAATGTTGTTAACAATGATTTAATAATCATTAAAATCATTTCATTACCTAACAAAACTACATCTAGAAGATAATTACCCCAAATATTTAATCATTCTCTAGTCCTTAATGTAAGACTTAATTAACTAATTTGAATAAATTAAGAATATTAGTTAAATTAGTTAATATGATATATTTTTTTTAAAAACACTCTAATAATCTTTCTTAATTCTTCTGTCTTTTCTATTTGATTATTGTTGATAGAATATCAATAGGATTAATTTTAAAAAAATTTAATAAACATGTGAAATAAGTCTTACATGAAAGACCAATATCAATTCTTAAATTAGGTTCTACGCTAAAGAACAAAGGAGTATTATAATAGATTGATCTATGACAAACATTTTAAAATTTGTAAAAGACCATGTCTAATTTTTTTTTTTTAAATAAAGAACTTTCATTGGCCAGCAAAATTTATAAATTAAGGAGATTTCCAGTCTTCTAATAATTTGTTTGTGTCTTTTTCTATAACGTCATGCCTATTCAGCAAGCTGTCGTCACTCTCTAACAAGTTCAAATAATTATTAATAAATGGCGATTTGGATAAATTCAACATTCGATTTTGGTTTGAATACACGTCCAGGCTTTATCAAACGGCACCGTACGTTAGCAACAATTTCTTTTTTTGGTAAGAGCAACAATTTATCATTATATTAAACTATCAAGATCAAATTGCTAATTGTATTATTGTACGAATGATATGGATAAGGGAAAGTGTTTGATTTGGCTCTCAATAATCGGAAATTAAAATTGGCAAAATTTTAGCAACTTCTTTTATATTCGCAGATCATTTCATTAAATCGATCATTCCATTTATACTCCAAAGGTTAAAATACAAAATAAACTGCATATATTAAAAAAATTAAATGGATCATAACAAAAGTAATCCTTTTCAATTTCGGTGGTAGCACTTGGGAAAAAGGGAATTTCGGTGTTGGCCTACTTAATATTTGATTGGTTTCTTGTTAACATAAATAAGCTGTCGTCATTTTCATTAATTATTTCGTCATTGACTTTTGACGGTAAATATCTGATTTAGTGTAGCCGCCGGTGTTTTCCAGGTTTATTACAGACTTGAAGCTTAATTAGTTTTAATAATATTTCTTGGCTTCTTTTTCATCTTACGGCAGCAAGCTATCGTCATTAGGATCAGCTTCCTTCTATATTTAGTTTCGTTCATATTATATCTCATTTAATTAAATAATCATTACTTTAATCGATAATCCATGATTATATTAAGTAACCTCGCACGTGGATGCCATAATAAGCAGCTGGTAAATCAAATTAAAAGAAAGAATATATGTCATGTCAATGTTAGCACGATAATCGTGAGTTGATTTTGTTAATAATATGGGTAAAAATTGTCAATAATAATTTCCTAATATATTATTAAGAATCATAGTGTTAAAGTTTTCCTCAAACTTAAGGGCGTCGATAAATTTAAAGGAAGCGATTAACAACCAGCTAAGCCACCATGTGTGTTGTATTAAATCGATTTGAGGAATAAATAGAAGTATTCATAACTTAGGAATAGTATAGCTTAGTTTAGCTTACAGTAAATTAAAATGAAATCAAATTAAATGTAAAAAATCTGTTAAAATCAGATTAATTATTCGGTTAGGTTGAATTCCCTTACTTACTTAACATTTGAATAAATGATGCGTGTTCATATTTTTTTTTAGTAGTCCTTACTTCGTGCCAGTTTTTAGACTAAATTATCAAACAAGCATATTGTCTCGGGTTGACAAATACACACACACACACACACACACACACACACAGTCGATGAAATACAAGACCAAGTGTAAATTGGTTTAATTTCTTTTTCCAATCATAATTAAGCACAAGAGCAAGCTACGTATCCCAGTTCAGATTACTTCTAAGTTCACATTAATTACGTTCACTTAACAAATATTCTCCGAAGCTAAGTATGGAATAATATAATATTCAAGTGGTTGTGGTTTGTGAGAGCAATTAATTAATTGTACATATGATTCATGTTGTGGAGAAAAATAAATATATACATATAAAAAAACGACATTGAACAAGTCGTGTCAACTGAGTTAAGCTGATAATAAAAATGGCAGAAACTGCAAGTGGGTGTGTGACAGCAATAAAAAATGTTTCATATTATGAAGAGAAATAATCAAATAATAAACAAAGACGAGGAAGAAAGTGAGGTCAAGTCATCAAAACTAAGGGAAGAAGCAGTGCTCATTATCTGAAGCCTGATTTGGATAATTTAGATTTAAAATTTTTAATATATGTTTTCAAGGGTTAAGATTCAATTTTAACTCCAATCTTATTTCTCCCACTGTCGATGTGAGAACCTTGTTAGTGGGCAATCTGTAAGTACTTTTATACGTGCTTTTTGAGTATGGAGGCATGTTCTAGTCTTGATAAATCTCAAAGACCTAACTTATCTTAACTTTTTATAATAAAAAAAATTATTTAAAATATAAAAAATATTTAAATTTAATCAAAATCATTCAAAATCAATTTGAATATAATGGTCTAGATTATTAAGATAAACACCCTATGCTCAGAGAAGGAGAGCCAATCAAATAATTCCTTGCAATGCTTGTTTGGAATGGTTTATAATCAACTTATAAATAGTTTTTTAATTATAATTTACAAAGTAAAAGATAACCATATATAAGAAGAGTTTGTCTCGATTTTTATGAACATGGTTATTGATGATAGTGAAATCAAACAAGTCATAAACTCTGCATGTGTTCTTCACCCGCTTAATATAAGATAGCATTGTAGTTGCAAGGTATCAAGCAAGTGATAAGAGACGATGGGAGAAAACAAAATGGCGGAAACTGCCGCGAATTTCGTGTCGGAGACGCTGCTCTGATCTCTTGAATTAATTTGCATATTTAATTTAGGATAAATAATAATGATGCGTACGTCTTCATACTTTTTTCCCCACCTTACCTCATGATAATTTTAAATTTTGACACTAATTATTAAACAAATATACTACTTTGGGTTCTTAATATAAGAGTTAGCTGACTAATTTGAGTAGATTAAGAAAATTAGTTTAGTTATTTATAATAAATAAGTATTGTATTTTCTAAAATATCCTTGTTAGTCAAGTATTTTGACTAGAACTACTATTATTATAATGACTACTTTGGAAGAAAAATAAACAAACATAAGAGACAAAGTAAATTAGGATCTTATACTTAAGATTAAAATAAAAATTAAGTGAGTTTTTATATTAAAATTAGAGGTAGGTTTTCTTAGGGGGAAAAAAAAAGAAGAGAGAGCATCTCGATGTCCTCTGACCAATAGTGCCAGGGTGACTTATCTTCGTTTTATACAAAGCAGCCAATATCTATCTTTGTTTTAAACAAGTATTTTTTTTTTCCACATATCATAATTTATGCGTACAAAAGTAAGCTACCCCATTTCAGATTACGTCTGACTTCTAAACCTGATCAAGTTCATATTGATTACTTCAAAAGAAAAGCTGCTATATATAATTTATATATGCGCTGGCTTATAAACTAGTATGATGGGTACTAGATGTAGAAGCTGGAATCCATAATATATTTACATCAAATTACTTTATCTTCTAATTAAGTTTATAAGTGTTTTAATTTCTCGAATATTTTTATTGATTGTTTATATTAAAAGGGTTTTTATATCAATGTTAATTTCAATACACATAATTAAAAAGAATATTTTAAGAAAATCATATACAAATTACACATTTATTATAGATAACTTAACTAATACAATATCCGTAGCTTTCTGAAGTATCAGGACGCAGGCCAAGAGAGGAGGAGATAATAAACATGGCAGAAATTTATTGTGGGGACTAAAAATATATAATCCTCAGCTGTGAATTAAAATACACTTTTTTGTTGTTAAATATCAAGTAATGAATGCAAGTTGGTGTTCTGTGACAGCAATCGTGAATGTTTCATATTATGAAGAGAAATAAGCAAATAAAAAAGGACGACAAAGTAGTGCTCAAAAAAAAAAGAAAAAAAAAGACGAGGAAGTGAAGTCAAGTTATGAAGCCGAGAGAGATGAAGCCGTAAAGCTGCTCGTGCTTCGCCCACTTATATATACGATGGCATTATAGTTGCAAGGGAAGAAGCAAGTGAAGAGAGAATCGGAGGAAACAAAAAATGGCGGAAGCCGCCGTGAGCTTCGTGACGGAGACACTGCTCCGATCACTAGAAAATGAAGTGAGGTTGCAGATGAGACTGAAATCAGAAGTTGCGAACATAAGCCAAGATCTACAAACCATCAAGGCGTATCTGAGAGAAGCAGATATCCAGGCAGAAAGACCAAACACGAGCAACACGTTGAAGGACTGGGTGAAGAACGTGAGGGAAATAGCTCACGACATTGAAGATTGCATCGATGATTACAGGTACGAGGTGGCTAGGGGCCGAGTAGAGCAACGTAACCTCGCCGGTCGGGCTCGCCGGGCTCTTGGGTTCGTGACCAGGATTGTATCAACCCACGGAATCAGCGACAAGATACAGGAGATCAGGGAAAGAATATCTCGCCAGGATGGAATGAGAAAAAGCTTGGGCCTCACCGGAGGGGATGAAGCTGGCGGCGGCGCCGGAGGCCAAGACTGCTGCCGAGGCTGCTGCGGAGGAGGGTCGAAGGGCGGAGGGTCAAACAGATGGTCTTGGCATGAGCAAAAGCAGCTAGCGGCTATCCCTGGGAAGGATCGGCTGGTGGGCTTTGCAGAGCAGAAGAGAGCCCTGGCGAGTTGGCTTACGGGCGGCAGGAATAACTGCACCGTTATACCAGTTGTTGGCGCCGGCGGACTGGGTAACTTAATTATTTGCTTAATTTCTCTATTACTCCTCAAGTTCTAAATAATATAAGACCCCTATACACACTAGTATAAGTGTCTTATATTTAAGATCGGAAGAGTATTAATTAGTGCTCTTATCCTATTTGTATGATTATTAAAAGTAATTTTTTAAAAAAGTTTTATTAACTTTGTTTCAAAAATCCAAAAACTTTTTAACTTTATTCATGTTTAACATACACTACTATATCTCATGGTACTATATCTCATGGGTATATAAAGTCTACATGATAGTGAAGAATAAAATTATATATTCATATATATATATATATAAAATTTAATAATATGATTTATAAATGGGATCACAGCAGTAATAACTACTATTAATTAGCCATCAGTCTATCTCTTTACTGAAAATCTGTTTCCTTCGCCGTGTCTTTCTATTTTTCGTTACCTTCTCAAGTAATTTCATGGATTCAAATTATTATATGCTCTCATATGCTGTTAGATGAATGATGGTGAATTATTGATGATATTCCGAAGATTTCAAATAAAGAAATTGATTACTCACGTATCCTAATTACTTGTGCATATAGAAGTTTATATAAAGGTATAAATATAGAATCTGGGATTATATATAAATGGATATAATTTATACACCATTTATTATGAAATATACATATATTCCTCCGGTCCTTAAGATAGGACCCAGTTGTTGATTTGATTTTGGTCCTAAATATAACACTCATTTCTCATATTTATCAGTTTTTTTTCTAAATCATCACTATGGATACTCCCTCAACCATAATCAAGTAGAAGAGGAAAATAGAGTATTAAGAAAGATGATTATGATATTTTAGGAAAAAAGTGTCATATTTCTTATAATCAACTAACTTACCTAATTTTCTTAATCTAATTAAATTAATTAAATAGGTCTTATATTAAGGACCGGAGGAGTATAATTTGATCCCTCTGAAATAATTTTGATTGGAATAAAATTAGACAAGTTGAATTATTTATATAGGTAAAATCATACATTATGTTTAATCTTTTAACTTTATATAAAATTTCAGTTTGGTTATTTAACTTTAAAAAATATCTTTTTAATTTTTTAATCTCAAAATTGCTAAAAAAAATCCTCATATTAAGATCTTAAATAATGTTAATGAAATATTTTTAAATACTAACGTATTAAGTTTAATTTTAAAATAATCATAATTATTACTATGAAAAATCATCATTTAACATTAATAATTTTAAGATTAACAAACTTGAAATTAAGAAAATTGACGCACCCCTTATTTCTCATGGATTATATTAATACTCTAATAATGATTGGGTTCAGGCAAGACTACCCTTGTCAGCCATGTGTATGGTCTCAAAGAAGTGGAGAACGCTTTCGCCCGACGAGCATGGGTGGTTGTGTCCCAATCGTACGACCCAAGACATATACTCAAGATTCTGATCAAAGAACTCCGGAACCAGAAGATTTTAGATCAGTCGGACACCGACTTGTGGCATTTGAACGAAGAAGTGCAGACTTGTCTCAAGAACAACAAGTGCTTGATTGTGTTCGACGACGTGTGGGACACCAATTTCTGGAGCAGCATCAAATCCATATTACCCTCACAAAACAGAACCAAAACCAGAATCATAATCACCACCAGAAGTCAGGAAGTGGCAAAGCATTGCAAGGACCAGGCACACCCAGCCGAAGTTAAAACCTTCCCTTTGAAACGTCTAGAGTACCAAGAGGCTAAGAAACTTTTCAATCAGATTGTGTTTGACGGTGATGAATGCCCAAAAGACCTTCAAATTTTGTCTCACGAAATAATCCAGAAATGTGAAGGGATGCCACTGGCTATTACCACCATCGCGAGTCTTCTTTCAAATGCAAATACAGACGACACTTCCCGATGGCAAAATGTGTCTAAGAATCTGAGTCGGATCTTAGCTGCAGAAACCAATCCCGAGGTCCGAGCATTTAACGCAGTCGTATCGGAGAGTTATCATAATCTTCCTTATCACCTCAAACTTTGCTTCCTCTATTTGGGTATGTTTCCTGAAGACTACCGTATCAACGGCAAAAGACTCATTCGTTTATGGATAGCAGAAGGGTTTGTCCAAGAAGGACAGACAGAGACTTTGGAAAAAGTTGGGATGAACTACCTGCAAGAGCTGATAAATAGAAACTTGGTTCAGGTTGTTAATCATTTTAATTTATATTTATCACTGATCATAACTAAATGAACTATAATTTTGATGTAGATGTGATATTCTTCTTCTCAGGCTGCAGTGACTGATTTTGATGGCAAAGTCAGAAGTTGCAGAGTTCACGATATGATGCGCGGCTTCATCTTGAAGAAGTTTGGGGAGATGAATTTCTGTCATGTTTTGGACAACAGTGGCTCCGATTTGAGCTTCTCAGACTCGCCCCGACGATTATCAATTCAGCAGGATTTCCATAAAAGCGAGCTTCTTGATGTTGTTTCAGATCCAACCTTGGTGAGATCTTGTATTTTGTTTAACACTAAAGGGATTTCACCTACTTTATTGCCAAAGTTCAAGCATATGAGAACACTTGATTTCGACGATGCTCCTCTTAATTTTCTTCCTGATGATATTGGAGATCTATATCTCCTGGAGTATCTGAGTTTAAGAAACACAAGAGTCAAGAAGCTTCCTAAATCAATCGGCAGGCTTCAGAACCTTCTCACTTTAGACCTTAAGAATTCTCAGGTTCAAAAGCTACCTATGGAAATAAAGAGGCTCCTCAAGCTTCGTCAGCTTCTGGGTTATTCCTACCACGGCGGCAGCACCGATTCAAGCATGGATTTTTCCGCCCAAGGATTGGAGATAACAGAAGGATGTGGGAATTTCCAGTCTCTACAAATACTAAATGCTATCAATTTTCCAAGAAAACCTTCCATAATTAAAGAATTAAAGAAGCTAAAGCCACAACTAAAGAAGTTGGGCATCACTAAGATAAGAAGCGAACATGGAAAGGAACTATGTGGTCTCATAGATGCTTTAAGCAACCTTACCTCATTGTGGATCGGAGCCGTGGACGAGGATGAATTTCTAGAGTTGGACCTGGTAACCAACCCACCCAAGAACCTTAAGCGACTTTACTTGGAGTGTCGTTTGAGGAAATTACCAGAATGGATTCCCAAACTCAAAAAGCTCAAGAGACTACGCTTGATTTGCTCAGGACTAACAGAAGATCCTATATTTGCTCTCAGAAACTTGAATGAACTATTGGAGCTACGACTTCGAAGGGCTTACCAAGGCGAGGAACTGCATTTCAAGAAAGGGTGGCTGAAAAAGCTCAAGATTTTACGGCTTAGGTATCTGCAGCACCTGAAAAGGTTGAAAATAGATGATAAGGCACTGCCACAACTTGAGACTTTATACCTCGGACCGTGCTCTCAGATGGCGGAGGTGCCCGAAGATCTGCAGAATCTCAAGAAATTGCAGACTCTTCGTTTCTGTGACATGCCTGAAGCATTCACAATGAGCATGCAGGAAGGACATTCTAAGTATTCCATCATCAAAGACATACCCCATATGTTTTTCCGTAGCAGCGAGCTTGGAGTCAACGGATATATCAACAACTCTCGTCATCTTGCCAATATCATGAAGAACAGATACGGTAAGTATATATTAAGTATATATTATAAGGAGAGAAAATAACGAGTTTTCTGTAGTTTTCAAATCAGCAACTAATTAATTAGTTAATTCATCTCTGAATTCTTCTTGCTGATAAGGTGATGAAAATCCCGGGGTGAGCAACATGATCAGCAACAATTTGGTTTCGAAAGGGAAGTGGCTATTCCCAAATGACATAAAGGGAATAGATGATGAGTGGTTTTGGGTTACAGCACTGTTGATGGCTGTTTTGGCTCTCCTCCTAGCTTTCGCATCCAATTATCTGGAGCAACATTCTTTTCAGATTTTCTGAGGGCCAAAACTGTGCAAGTTCACTCGTCACTGTTCTCATATGAATTCCTTTATCGTTTTCCTTTAATTTGTTCGTTGGCTTGGTTTGGGCTGTGTTTGTGCAAGTCTATGTATCATTATTCTGTGTGGTGCGATTTCTAATAGAATAAGTAGTATTATATTGCTGAGAGAAGCAAGCAAATACATCATCATTGTTATAAAGTTACGTACGTTGTTTGATAATTTTTCTTTGGTTGGATTGGGTTGCCGTAGATGTTGTTCCACTCTGCTATGAGGATCATTATTGTGTGTGGGGTGATTCCTAATAGAATAAGCATTGCTGGGAAGCAAGCAACTTTATCTTACAAGTTTTGTATATATGTCCATCCACTTTTCATTCTAATACTAACTTGGGTCTTTAATATAAGATTTATTTGACTAATTTAAATAGATTAAGAAAAATAGTTAAGTTAATTATTTATAACAAATAAGTATTGTCTTTCTTAAAATATTTTTGTTAATAAAGTATATTGGTTAGAACTACCACTATTACAAGGATTATATTAGAAAAAATAAATAAATATAAAAAGTAAAATGGATTGAATTTTATATTTAGGACTAAAATAAAGATCAAATGAGTTTTTATATTACGAAACGGGTCGGTATAAGATCGTACTGGATATGTTTTTTGTGATCAACGGCTTTTCTGCTTACATCATTATTTTGTGCCTGCTAAATTAAGGGTGCGGTAATAAAATCAATATATCAATAGTTTAATGTATAATATAAAATTTATAGAAAGTGATGGAAGCCATTAAGTAATAATACGCGCAAAGACGCAGCACGGGGCCCATAAAATTTATTTGTTAGTAGCATACGGGGCCCATAATTCAGTTGATGGATAGAATTTTTTTAATTAAAAAATAATTGAAAATTAAAAATTGTATAATTTTTCCTCATAAAATATCAAAATTTCACTGATTGTAGGTAAGAAACAAGGGGGAAAAAAACATTCGGCAAATAAAAGAAAAATTAAGGGGCGGCCGGCATTCCAAATACCACCCACCGAACCCCGACGTTCTTGCCCTTGCATTTCCACTTTAACCAAGTACTCGTTTATGACATCTTGCATCCAATATGCAACTTCTCTCACTTGTCTCACCTTCTCTTTCATCTATTATGAGTTCCAAAACTCATCTTTGATCTGCTCATTTTGCTTCCTTACTCAGTAAAGGGATCAACTTGGCAACCACAATGTTCACCGCAGTTTCTGCCATGAGAATGCCAATTCAAAGTTCTTTTTTTTTTGCCAGATCAGTTTATTATATCTTACGTTTAGTTCCAAGATTATGTTTATGTTCCCCAAAAGCAAAAGCATTGCATCAATATGATTATTCTTGTTTATGTTCAACCCAAAAGAAAGCGTCAATTCAAAACTTGTGTGGATCCTTATTAGCTTGGCCGTTTACCCAAGGAAAGGATCATCGGCTCCAACGGCCAGCTTGCTAGTTTAATTTGTCAAATTATAAATTTTATATTTTATATTGATACCAACATATATTAGCGTTGGAATATTTATTTCTAGTTTTATTTCACCACATATCTTAACTCTTTTGTATTCGTAACAATAATTATCAATTACGTGGTTGATAATTCTTCTTCCTTCCTTCTCATTCCCTCTCAGTCCTTCGTATCATTTTAGTTGTGCCGTCCCATAAAAATGTATTTTTATATCTCTTCATCTAATAAAAATGTAAAAGATGGGCCATAAATATTTTTTTACCTTGCATTTCACTCATAAATAATACTACCTCCGGTCCTAATTATAAGACCCCGTTTAACTTTTTGTTTGGTCCTAATTATAAAACCCCAATCCATTTTATCTCTCATATTTATACATTTTTTTCCAAGATAATCCTTCTAATAATGATAGTTCTAGCCAATATACTTAATTAGCAAGGATATTTTAGGAATGATAACACTTATTTATTACAAATAACTAACTTAACTTACTTCTTTAATCTTCTCAAATAAGTCAACTGGGTCTTATAATTAGGACCGAAGGTAGTACATATGTATCCCCTGCTCAGCTTAAGAATCAAAACATGTCAAAACATCATATTGTAGGAATACAAACTGAAATATTTATAATTATAAATTATATGTACCCAAAAGTGAGAAAGTTAATTATAAATAAAAAAAAAGACTTTGGTTTCATCGTACAATTAATTTAAGCGCCCCCTTAAATCAATTTCGCAACTCCCTCAAGGAGGCTAATACTTGTAATCTTTGACAAACAAACTCTCAGAGGCCAACCCGCCGGCGCCGGCGCCAGAGTATTTGCCGAGAGTTGCATCGGAGTTGGCCTTGCACCTTGCCAGGAAAGCCGCCTGAGCTTTGGCAACATGCTCCTTCTTCCCACCCCACGTCTTGAGGGTGCTCTGCTGCAATGCTCGCCCAAAGGAGAAAGACACAGTCCATGGCTTCAGCACTTCCAGCTTGTTCATTGCATCCAAGTTCAGTGTTGCCTCTTCTTCGCTTTGTCCACCAGACAAGAACACAATCCCTGGTACTGCAGCCGGCACGGTTCTGCGCAGTGCCCTGACTGTGTACTCAGCAACCACCGCAGGTGGTACCTGTAGGACAATGCAAATTTTGAAAGTTTTCAAATATTCAATGGGATATCCCCTTGTGAAGCTCAGTTTCAGATGTCTTCATTTCTTTGATATCAATGATACTTGAATTGAAACCAGTAGATTTTCTCCTTAAGACAAGTTATTATATAGATCCAAGATGAAGTACTTGATGTTCAAACATTAACTACTCCTATCCAAAACGAAACCACTAAATTGTCTCCTGTTCGAAGCATGCAAAAGTATCACTATTATTATATATGCAATATATATTTTAATATTTTCTAAATCAACTCTAATCAAGGACCATTCTTATGCTGCAATCCAAGAAACACCAAGAATATAGCATGATAGTGTCCAAATACAAAACTCAAATGTGTCATGCCCTATCGATTATTAAACACCAAGCAACAGAAATTTTCAAGAATTTGTGGCTTGGTGCTTCAAAGAGAACACTTACCTTAAAGAATGGCAATAATTACGTAAAGTTTCATAATTTTAGAAAGTGGTGAAGTCTGGTTTAAAAAAAAAAAATTTAACAACAGGTTTTTAAATAAAAACAGAGATAAAAAGATATTCTTTCTGTAAGAACTAAGGCGAACATGCACTGGACTGAAACTGACGAGAAACCCATGCAAGCAACTAAAAGACAAAATTTGGGTGGTACCTTTGGGCTGTCAGAGCCAGGAGTGACCATGTTAGGCTTGAGAAGAGTTCCTTCAAGAAGAACATGGTGATCATTGAGCGCCTTGTAAACAGCAGCAAGCACAGTTTCAGTAGCAGCAGCACACTTGGCAATGTCATGTGGGCCATCAGTCAGAATCTCAGGCTCCACGATGGGCACCAACCCATTCTCCTGGCAAATGATAGCGTAGCGAGCCAATCCCTGCGCATTCTGCTGGATCGACAACTCCGACGGCTCGGTCGGTCCGATTTTCAACACGGCGCGCCACTTGGCGAATCGTGCACCGGCCTTGTAGTATTGCGCGCACCGAGATCCAAGCGAATCGAAGCCCTGCGTGGTGGTTTCACCATTGGTGCCGGCTAATTCGACAATGCCTTTGTCGACCTTGATGCCGGGAACAACGCCGTTTTCTTGGAGGACTTCGACGAAGGGCTTACCGGAGGCAGTTTTCTGGTAGAGGGTTTCTTCGAAGAGGATGACGCCGGAGAGGAATTGGAGAGCGTTTGGAGCGGTGAAAAGGAGCTCGCGCAGGGCTTGGCGGTTGGACTCAATGTTCTCGACGTTAATGCTAGCCAGACGCTTGCCCATGGTGCCGGTGCTCTCGTCGGCGGCGAGAATGCCCTTGCCGGGAGTCGCTATGTACTTGGCGGTCTTGATGAGCTCATCTAAACGAAAATCAAAATCATTACTCCTCTATGCAATGGCCCTAAGAAGCTATATAGACTTGTTAGAAGCATTGGCACCATTTTCTGTACAAAGAACAAGAACAGAAGAGAAAGAGAAGAGATGGTTTACCTGCATACTTGCCAACAAACGCAGACATGGTTCAAAGCTGTACGAGAGCGGTAAACACACAGATAAGAAGACGACACTACCAAAAACGGAGCTCACCCAATCCAAAACTTTATAGAACCAAGACTATAAGGAATATTCCAAAGAATATATACAACCCATGCAAAACCAACACGTGTTCTGGTCTTTGCCTCCCGAAGGTTATCCCCTTTGGATAGACCAACCCCTGATCCCTCCTGCTGCCACGTGGCAGCTCATCCTTTTTAATAGTATTATGCTCACCTCTCAGATCACAGCTCAATTTCCTTTTCTTTTTATTCAGAGATCCAAATTTTTTGTGGAAAGCTTCTCTCCCGTTAGGCCGTCATCCTCATCCTGTTTGTTTTCTTCAGATATCAAACTAGACACTACCCAGAAGGCCAGAAGGCTCCTTTCTGGATTATCTGCATATCTCTGTCTCAGCCACAGTATTCATCCTTTCTTTCTTTTGTCTTGTTTTGGAATCAATTACCTACCTCAAAAACACATGACCATGCAAATTGCCTTTTGGGTATTCAAGAAGCAATCTTAAGTTTTTAACTCGGAGTAGCTATAAAACAAATCTCAATAACATTAGAGTCACTCTTGTAAAGGGGCCACCAAACTCACCTGTGCCAAGTACAACATACATGAAAATCTTCATCCCAACCAAAATACAATCTTGGAGGGCACGATATTTATTCTTGGAAATTTCTTGCAGGCCACATGCACACCTTGAGGTGTCTGGCTACATTCAAGCAAACTGCATTTAGGGCCACCAGAGGCAAGAGATATTTTAGAAAACAACAAAATATAGTGAGAGAAATAGATAGATGAATTACTACCCAGTCACTTACTGACATGAGATTGAGGTATATGATGTTAGACTCCAGGACAACCCTTTCTGATACCTCAAGAAGAAAGTATTTAAAAGTTCATGCGAATGAAAAAAGAACAAATAAAATATCATCAAGAGCTCTAAAAATAAGTTGCAGTGAATCCGTAAGTTACAGTAAGGAAAATTTAAACTGATAGAAAGCAGTAACCTAAAGCCTAAAGTGAAAAGCATGCATTTGCTGCAATCAATATCATCAAAAGCAAAGCATATATCTCAAGTACCATAAGTTACACGGCTTTGGTTCCTATACTGTGAAGAAAAATTTCCCGGAGATGATTAAAGGGATACATCAAAGAATTGCCCATAGATCACGCGGCTTGATGGTGAAAGTGATTTGCCTTCACCTCGCACATCGCATGTTCAAGTACACTGTTTCACTCGCGCACACAGAGTATATGAAAGAGCTATCTGACTGGACACAGAAAATCACTCTTTAGACATGCTAGATTAAACAAAATCTTTATGCTACATACAAAGAACCAAGAACCAAATAAAATTTGCTGCAGCATGATGAATTGTCCACTTTTCAGCAGCCTCTTCCACCTTTGCACAATCTATGCTCAACATTTAAGATGTTAAGGTCAACTTCGCTCCTATGATCCTTGAATACTTCATTGTTAAACGTACTGCTTGATTTGTCATCAGTATGCCTTTGTTAGAATTTGACATGAAGCAACAAAATAATACTTCAGAGCTAATATGGATTATGGAACATAAAAAGACAACGTACGTAGATCCATAATTTTAGCTGGTAGCTGATACAAAGTTGTGCATATGGCAAGTTTAGATTGGACCTAGAGAAGGATTGCCGTAAGATAACATAATAGTTTTCGTCCTTTCTTGCCTCATTTCTCTTCTTTGAATTTAATACATTGATTTCTTCTTTTCAGTGAGAACGATAAGCAAGGAGACATTACGAAAATATAACTGCACAGAAGTCACAGAAGAAGGACAAGTAATAATATCACGAATCACAAACTGAAGCCCTTGACAATACCATTTTTAGACAAACTAAATTGAACTTAAAAGATTATGTTCATCAAAAGAACGCTGGTGTTACATTTTTTAACCTGTCCTGCACAATGATAAAATTGTCATCTTGTAAAAAAAATTTTGTTGTTAAAACAAAAGCTCAATCTCAATTGGCATTCTCAAAATCATATTGGTTTTCCACTCGGTTAAATTGGCGACATGGTTCCCATGCACTGAACGATGAAAAAGCACGTCTATCTGTCTATCTCTGAAACCATGACCTCAAATGACAAATGTTATGATATTGAAAGTTGTTAGAAAGCAATTTACCTTGTCCCGGTCACCAAACAGTAATGTATTCTACATTTCATTCTGAATTTGGGATGCTTCACAATGCTGCTAAAAAGCATTGTTGCTAAAAAGCATCTCAGTACAAAGCTAACTAATCATCAATTAATGTCACTAGTTAGTGTTCCAAGCATACAGAAAATGGCAACAACCTTCAGAAGTTGGACTATCTTCAGGACAACAATCTCTATCACCACTATCAGAATCATCCTCTGCAGATTCCAAAGACCCTGGCTTGAAGATGAACAAGCCATGCCCTGAACCATTGAACAACCAATCATGCACGTCCCACAATATATGCACCGGCAAGTTGTTCACGATCACCGTCTCGTTCCCTCTGAACCTCCAATTTAGGTTCATGATCCTCGTGGCGACGATTCCATCTATGCTCACCCACATCTCGGGATCTTCAGGCCCAGAAAGCGATGTCTCTATCACAATGTCATGCTCTGTTTTGCCTTCTTCAATCATCGCTTTCGTGCAGAACATCTTCTTCCCATACACGATCTCCTTCTTGTACAATAGAACAGCCTCTTCTGAGCATGGTCTTGACCTGGTTCTTTCATAGGCTTCTTTCTCTAAGTCTCCTAGGAACAAAAGCGTCTCCTTTCTGTGCACCAAGATAACGTAGTAATCTGAACGAGGTCGTGGGTATGAGGTGAATTTCGCGTGCCGGAAATCCCAGAATATGTCCACTCGATTCCCTTGTATTTCCAAGGTTTTCAGGCCCTTTTTCCCCCAACTTTGCTTGAATATTGAGTCAATCTTGCAATTGTACGCGTTTTGTTGTGATGAGTTTTCAACACTTATGCAGAGAGAATGGTCGGCGAGGTCCTTGCTCCATGTCACCATCACACTTTGACATGTCTGAGGTAGTCTTGTCTTATACACAAACGTAATAGAATGCTGTTCTTTAGCAGGTAAAGGCACAGCTTCTGCAAAATTCCTAGCCATTGACTACACTATTTGGTTAACCTTGAACTGAGCCTTCCTGCAAATATATGACTATAGGATTTACATTTGAATTTGAATTTGATGGTGTTCATTAAAAAAAGAGACCGAATACACGAACCCCAATATGCTACCTTGAACAAAATGACGATTAACCATCTTTAGTTTGCTAAACCTGGGAAGCTGTATGATTCCAACCATCTTGTTGGCAAGGTAAACGTATATACGCTTTGATGAACAAGGCAACAAGCTTCTGAATTTTGCTGTTCTTGAAGACTTACACAACAATGGAATATGGCCCCAAATGTGGTTCTTAATCAGATGTTGAATGGACAGCCATGTGAGAAAAGTTAGAAAGGGATCACAATAATCACATACCCTGAGAAAGGAGCTAGAAATGAAAGATTACCCGGAAATGTTTGTTTAATGAGGCGTTGAGAGGGGAGAGTTGAAATTCAGTCACTTATAGCCTATTAATAGATTAGATTACAATTTGAAAAATGAAAATATGTGGTTTTTGTGGTTAAGTGGAGCAATGTCAGAGCAAGATCCTGCTTTTTTTTGCTTCCATTTATAGTAAGTGTCACGATTTGGATAAGAGAAGTTTAGACAACGACCAAAAATAGTTGAGGGGCTGATTTTGTGATGCTTTCATAAATATTTTTCTAAACAAAGCTTTTTGCCACTGCTTATTATCACAACCAAATGGCATACGTATGTGTCTATTTAAAAGATTATACATAAAATAATTGATTGCTGTTGATTTTGAAGCATTTATAATTGTAATAGCCACCTGACCGTTGGTTATGAAATAATCATAATTTAACTAAGGAGGTGTTTGGATAATCTCAAAAACACTTCTCAAAAGTACTTTTCTGTAAATCAAGACAAATTCCTTCACATATTTACTTCGCATACTGTAAAAACCCTTTTAAAACAATAGTTTTGTTTTTATCCAAACACCCCCAAAGACATTATAACTAAATAAATAGGATGAGCCTACCTGCTTAACTCAAAATAACTAAATATAAATTTTAGTTAAAGTATCTGTTTTCGTCCTAATTATTAAACTCTATTTTTGTTTGTTTTTCTTATTAATATTTTTTGAATTGTTTTGATTAATTTCATAACTTATTATTTTTTCTCATAAGATATGTATTTTAAAGAAAATAATATATTTTTATATCATAATAATAAATAATCAACTTACCTAATCTGTTTAATATTTATAAATTAAATAAAGAATTTTTAAGGGGGAAAATTGGAGGCACACCAAACAAAAACTATATATTTTTGGTGTGGATAATTTTTGGGTGGATTTTTTTGACCTGGGACTTTTTTGGATGGATGATAGTAGCTGCATAAATATACAAATAAATGACTGACAATAAAGTAAAACTATCATAGAAATTACGTTTTGTGCTTGGATTAAGACTTTAATTAATTGCTGACTCAGTTTGCCATCATTGCATGGTTAGCTGTACCTATGTGATGGAAATTGTCCACCCTCAATGGTTCCATAACTTTCCATAGCATATTGATGTTAATAAACACCAAAACGTCCTTTTCTATTTTAGATTGATTTGCATTTAGTTAGAATTTGGTATGATGTATTGAAAACCAATGAGTTGGCATTATTAATTAAAAAAAAGCTAAAATTATTTACTAAATTGAAATGCTGTGAATCTTTTACTTTATTAGATTTTAATCTTCTTTCCGTACGTAGAGAAAATAATATTGTCATTTTTCTCTCCATGGTTTTATTAAAGTATGCAAGAAATCATATGAACCGCTCACTGTTTATAAATTCTCACATCAACTTTGTTTTTAGCTTCATAAGGTTGTGACCTTAATTTTTTGTTTTCAACGTAAATTTTTCCTCCTATCATTTTGTATGGTCATTTA